GATAATCCAGCCTTGTTTTGAAACTGTATACCAGGCTTTGGGGCATTGAGAGTTAGCGGATTACCACCGGGGACAAAAGTGTTCCTCCACCGCAGTGTTGAGATAATCCCTCCATCCCCGGGATTTCCACCCTGGGACTTCCGCCCGTGGTGATTCATAAGAGCAGAATTCTAGAAAAGACCTTGAATTTTTCCAAAATTGCTAAAATAATCAATTCTGAAATATATCAGCATATATCAAAATATCATCTTGAAATCATCAGTGCTCACTTTCTAAGGTGTGGACTTAATGTTCATACACCTACGACAAACTTGAGATGAAAAACCTCACTATATATATATATATATGCCTGCAACCACTAAACCTGCTGGACCATAAGCTTTGTACGTGCTGCAATAAGCCACCATGGCCACAGTGGTTTGCTACTTTGGCACCCTGCCAATGAGGACCCTGTGGCAATGAAAGCAAGTGTGTATGTACATGTATATTCAGTTAAGATCTCAAGATCATCATACATTTGGGAACAAGGCAGGTTAGTTTGTTACAGTCAAACCAAGTCAATGCATAGCCTAGGGGTCTAAATCCAGTTACAGTCACTCATTAACAAGTCCCTTCTCTTGCTTTATTCAGCAAGTGATGTCAATGATGACATTGGCAATTTTTATTATGCATACTAGCAGAGCTCTGATTAAATTGCAAATTTATAGATGGATAGAACCTGTTCTCAGAATGACATGTGCAATCAGGTCGTGGTGATGCTATCATGTGATTTACTGTAAAATTTAGGATATTCACTGAAAACCATTGATTTTCTACTCAGTTTTCAAGGGGCGACTTTTGGTCACTTTTCAATCCACATGTGATTTGCATAATGTTGTACATCTTCCATCCCATCCATATGAAACTTGTCACATTGCAACATCGGTATAGCAAAATTTGTTTACCTCATTAAATTTTTGGTTACCTCATAATGAAGTCAAGCATTGTCTGTTAGACATCACCCTAAACGTTATATTCTAAACTTTGATTCTAAACTACAGATTTGCAAGACTTGTAGAAAACATGTCATTAGTCATGAATATATGACAGTTTATGAATACTTCTCATAAATACAAAAGATATTAATGTTTCCCCTGCTATAATGCCGGGGAATGATGCTGAACTCTGGGAGTATACCATGAGGACTTGGCACAGCTTCTAGGTGTGTCAGGTACTCACTGTCCATGCAATCAAGAGCAAATGTTTTTAACAGCTGAGCTGTTTATTGGATGGAAATATATGATATTCCGGCATTTAGCCAATCAGTTTCTTGCTTATGGAAAATTTCTCAGGTGCCATTTTGTTTTTTTCCTGCATCAGTTGTCACTTTGATTGATGAAAATGGCTCATAAAATCATTGATCACGGTGGAGACGTGTCAGTTGAGGAAGGCCTAAAAATCCGTGGAAATGTTTGTGGCTCAAATTCTGCTGCAAAAAGACACAGTGCATGTAAAAGATGGCATATTATCTTGATTTCATGAAAAAAAGAAACAAGCAAGAATGCTGCAGGTACACTTGATGTGATAAATTATGGAAGTATTTGGACAGAGAATAGAAGGACATACTTAAGGAGGCAAATATTTTTCTCATAATTATTAGTTTCCTCAAATCCTACTCCTGCTAACAGTTTGTGTTTGCTTTATATATATTTCATGTCATTGTTGGTATTCATTGCTGTGGACACTGCGAAATGGTTCGATTGGGTTGGTTTAGGTTTTCGGGTTTACTTTTTACTTAATGACTTCAATAATGTTTCTGGTGCTTTTAATTTTAACTGCGATTCATTTGTTGGTTGCTATATTCAAACACTAAGGAACCATTTCTAATCCAATGCAGTGTGCTTTTCCCATGTGACCAAGGAGTAAGGACCTGTTGACGAGTTGTCCATCTGCTGGAACATTTACATTTCCCATTTGGAAACATCCTTGATCAGGTGATGAGGTAAAACAAAATCCTGTTGTTGTCCATTACTTGCTGCAGGGTTGCTATATTCAGCCAAAACAAGTGACATTATCAAACACAATATTGTCATCGCTGAAAGTCTGTATAAATTAATGGAGCAACAGACACTCAAGGTAAGAATCTGCCATGGATTACATTGATATATTTCTTGTATAATTTTACGTGTAACTTTCAGTAGTTTATCATTTACCTGTCATTGGTTTTCATTTGTTACCAATATGTAGATATTGGGCATATTATTGGGCATAGTAAGTGCTTGTCTCTGCTTCCATTGCTCTACAGCTGTTATATGAACCATGTTTTTTACGTTTTGAGACAAACTTGTACTTTGAAAAAGTTCAAGTATTACTTTCTTTTTGAGGTAACCACAAATAGCAAAATTGAATTACAGGTGGGAACAGGCAAGTGCTTCTTAGGGGAATTTTATTAATTCAAACACACAGACACTACTAGCTTCATAACCTCACCATATTTCCTGTTTTTAAAACTAGTGAATTGGAGTTTTTCTTTTACCAACTGGAAGATGTCAACTTGAAGTAAATGAGTTCGAAATTTAAATTGGAAATTCCAGTGGATCACTTCATTCACATGAACATTAACAAACCTGTAAGGCAAGGCTTTAGTTTGTATTCATGGTATTTTCTCCAATAAGGCAAGTTTGTGTACTACTTACTGAACACGAGGTGACCCAATATGCTATTCTGTTATATGCTTTGTTTCCCTTGTAGCTTGGTAGACATGTTGAAGGCGTTGCTTACATTGCAGACATGGAGAAGTTTGGATTACATCATCTATGGAAGCCAGCAGTTGATGTATTCAATCAGGTAAATGAAATGCATTGGGAGTCTTCAAGTACCTTCAGACATTCTGGATTGTAATCGGTCTCTCTCAAATGGTGTCAATTCCAAGAGATTGCCATGTGCAACATTTTGGACATCCAATTTTTGTGACACACATTGGCTGCACTGTATTTCCAAGATATTTGGATCAACAAGGGTGCCCGTATAGAACAGTTTAACAGTGTGTTTATGCTCTTGATGACAAATGCACATTTGTAATTTTCCTACAAAGATTGTGTCCCATAAAAAAGATCTAGTCTTATTTTTCCTGACACTGACAAACAACTCTAAAGTTAGGTCTCTTAATTTGACAACAGTCCAGCATGACCTCCTGTAACCTTTTATTCTTTCAGCATGACACTTCTGTCATCAAAGTGTGACATGTTCTGTAATTTTTTATGCTCCATATCATTATTTTGTAATCCCTTTACAGGTTTTTACTTTAACACGTTACTAAGCCACTTTACAGAAACATTCTCTGAGTAAATCCCTCATGAAATTATCGTTTGCAATTCTGGCTGTACAGCCTGCATCCTAAATACAAAAAGTTTGTACTTTCACATTCATACTGTCTTTGATTATAAACACAATTTTTTACAGTCCCATTTGACAATCAAAGCCATGTGTCCAGATTATTTCGGATTGTATGTCATTTTTTGTACTTTTTTGTATCATGATGCCCGGGCAAAATCCGAGATAACAATTTCAAAAAACATTTGGAAACCTGTGTCCTAAAACAGGGCACTCCTTCATGCTGGTGTTATACTTCATCTAATTTTGTTCCAGAGGGAAACCTCCTTTATGCACTCCCTACGGAACAAATGCACTAGCCTGCAAGATGGCAACCATGCAAAGCCTTTATTCTTTCCCTTTAAAATCCCTTTCCTGCCATTCCTTATTATGTGATGCACCTGCCAATTGACCAATCAGAACCCTTGCACTAGACACTATTCATATTTACAAGACAATGGTTTCAACTTTTACTAAGAACCAAGACCAACATAAGACCCCAAGCCTGAATTTAAGTTGCAAGCTATGCAAATTAACTCCAATGAAAGCATCCAACAAAGCGTCATATTGTTTACTCTTGTGACTGGTCTTGTGAATGGTCTTGTGCTTGGTATTGTGTCTGGTCTTGTGAAAGGTCTTGACTTCAATACTGGTCGGTACAATGAATGGAGCTCAATTCATTATATCTCCAAAACCTGCAAATGTCCGAGTAATCATACATGAATCCCTAATTACTGTGAGATCTCTTTTACCATGAATTTACTACACAGTTCTCTTACAATGTGAGATGTGACGATGTCTTTTTGTACTGTTTTTGTGCTCCATAATACGTGTACGCCTTGCTGATTCATGCAGGTTCTGCACAAATGTATTGTTGGTAGGATCAGGGAAAATGTTGTTCTCATGTGCCTGCTTGATGCTGTAGATGGCTGATGAGATAACATGATTGGCACTGTGAGAATCCAGAAATTTAAGTAAGGTAAATTGTGATGTGTATTTGTTGGCTGGTTAAGCAGGAATTTTTTTTGTGGAACAGAAACCTTCATCTCTTGAAGCTGCTGTCATATGTACTGACTGTGGTGTTCCTTCAGGAAGCTATCATGTTCATACACATCTTGTTTGTAACTCCAACCACCTCCAGTGTGTTTAAACCATGCTACCTCAGCTGATACCTGTCAAACTTATTTTCAGAAAACAAGTTGGAGTGAAGTTAATCAATCTAAATTTCAAAGGGTTCTCAGCAAAAAAGCCATGATTTCCATGTCTTCTACAAATAATGTCTGCCTGAGGCAATACCTGACTAACACAAAACTATTAAAAAACTTTGTTTTCTGTCTCTAGAAACAACGAAAAAAGGGTCGACGTCCACATTGGAATAACCATAGTAGCTTTAGCACTCTCCTGTTGCAGTTTCACCAATGCTTTCACAGTATCAACCTTGTTGAGGGCACCAACCGTTTCTCCCAAATGTGATCAAATGCATTTACCCTTTCAGCATCAGGGCACCACCATCTTGGATTAAAGTTGCCACAAAGTGCATTTAGATTCGAAGCAAATCTATCAACCGTATGGGCCCCATGTCCAATTTAAGAATTCAGACACCCATGACTACTTGCCAGTCATCACTGTCTTTTGTTCTGCTCAGCAAATCTGCTCTTTGTTATGACTTCTTATCCATTCTGGCTCCAAACTGATACTTTTTTCTTTTCAAAATATATTGACACTTGAGTGACTTGGTGCAATTTTCTGTTAATTGTGCTTTTTTATTTCCTATGTCTAACACTTCCTTTACATGTGTATTATCTGTGAACCATTTCACTTTTTTGTTTTGCAACACATGCGCATTATATACTCATCAGTACTCTTTCTATAGCCTGTGCTTCTCTCCAAGTGGAGCTTTGTTTCACTTCTTGTACATCCCATGTACCGACTACCTTGTTGCCTTCAGCTAAGGCGCCCGCACAAAGGGAAACATACTCACTGTATGCCTTAACTACTTCACAGTCCTTGTCATACTCAATCATTTATCGTTTACTTGTCCAACATTGTGTTTTCAAACTCATATCTCACTTGTGGCTTCCTTAGATACCCTGATGGGCACGAATTAACGCGCCCGAAATTCAATACATAGATCTTGTTTTCAATTTGACTAACTTGTCTGTTGTGTTCATCAAGGAGATGATTTGCAGCTGCTGCTAGAAACCTTACCAGTACTAAACTCTCCAGGGTTTGGAAGTGCCTGGTACATGAGTGACACAGGCTACTGGCAGCAGAGCGTGGCCAGCGCCACAAAAACTCAGAAAATTGCTAAGAGACTACTAATTCACATGCAGTCTGTATGGTGGCTGAACCAATTAGGTAAAGTGCAAGGTAATGGGCAACAGGCTCTGGGTCTGCACCTACTTGCCTGACATACCATACTGGTATAAGTAAGACCAAGTAACCCCACTAGTGGCCCTGGGGACATTCCTCCCAACCTAGAAATTGTTGTTTATCTCAGCTCAGCTCTTCTCAGTGGTTAAACATCTGGATCCATAATTAAAAGCAAAGATGTACAGAATTAAAACAGAGGAATTAAACCATGTTAGAAACAGGGTGCCTAAAAATTACTGAGATTTTTCTGTCACACAGGCTTTGGTCTTCCATTGGCCAACACAACCCCGGTTAATTTGTGAAAACATATGCTGCAGTCCCATTACCAGAAGGAAGCACACTGAGATGGTAGCACCGAGTGTCATGGCCTTCCTCCAAAGACAAAAACAAGATAGATTGTATGCTCCCTCAATATGTTGATATGATGATAAGCAAATTTTTAAAGTCAAAAGTGAACATACTCTTCCACTACAAACAGCAGTTTAGCAATTGATACCTTCATACTTGAATTTGAATTGCGTTAAATGCTTACTATTGACGCGACAATCACGCACAAACCTTACTTTACCTGTTTTAATTAACCCTCCTATGCTAAGATGCATTCTTGACACAGTTGTCATATCAGTCAAAACCAGTCAAATTTCCCATACGTGTCTGTGTACTGGGGGAAATCAATTGGAAGGCATGTTTGACGGTCAAAACAGAAGGAGTGTTAATATATGCAGTGGTCAGATGGTTAATATGTGGTTTGGCATGAACTTTCGATATATAACTGAAGTTCATATATGCATCCTATTCCAACAACTTCTGTACTTTTGTAACAAATGAAGGAATATCTCTTGCAATTCAACTGAGTCTGGCAAAGTTCTGAAAGGCATTTTTGACCCTTCATGTCTATGCTATGTATCGTTTACGTCAGCTTCATCCCAGTGACTCAAAGATTGCTT